TTGACTAGGTTAGGATTGTTTTCACTGGAATTCAGACGAATGAGGGGGGGGGTCTCACAGAGAGTTATAAAATTCTAACAGAACTAGACAGGGTAAATGCAGGGAGGATGTTCCTGATGGTGGGTGTGTCCAGAACCAGGGGTCACAGTCTGAGGATTCAGGGTAGATGATTTAGGATGGTGATAAGAAGACATTTCTTCACCCAAAGAGTGGTCAGCCTGTGGAATTCATTACCACAGGAAGTAGTTGATGCCAAAACATTTGAATGTATTCAAGATGCGACTAGATATAGCACTTGGGCGAATGGAATCAAAGGTCATGGGGAGGAAGCAGGATTAGGCTACTGAGTTGGACAATCAGCCATGACCATGGAGCAGGCTCAAAGGACAGAATGGCCTTCTGCTCCTATCTTCTATGTAACTCCAGGTCAAAGAAACCATTATTAATTGTTTTTAATCTTTTGTACTTGTAAAAACTGTTACCAATTTGTATCTGGTTGTGAAACCTGCAATGACTGACAGTGTTGGGTGATGGTGCAAGGGTATATTAAAGTCCACAGACTTCTGCTTTAGACTTATGATCATTTTGCCATGGAAAAGATTTGGGGTTAAGTTGTATTGACAATATTGTTTTTAGTACTATGTACCTGTAGCTAGAAATAGAAATGTGTATTGTTGGAACAAAGATGCCAATGTTACATACTGATGCTTCAGTTGATAATTTTGATAAAACAAAGACTGCAGAGGGGTACCTAATGCTGCCAGACCTGCTATGTTTTTTCCAGCACTTTGTTTTTGGAGATCATTTTGATAACTTAGCTGTGGCTTGCAGCAGTCATTCACACCACAGGATGGGAAGGGCTGAAGTTTTGTAATCTGTTTAATTCATTCTTGGGGGGACAGTTACTGGTGTAATTAACATCTTCCTTAGATTAATCCACGAATGGAGAACAACTTTGAGGAAATGGCCTTCTCTCAATTACTCTGTTAGAAAGACAGAAAGAAAGAAAGAACGAAAGAAAATCGGCTAAGGGTAAATGGCAGAGAGGTGCTACTGAGTGAAACAAAGGCAATAAACCTACGTGATGAAGATAGCTGCTTCAGGCTGAGTTAACTGATTGACTATATTCCAGCATTTAAAAAAAAAAGGCTTTCTTCCTCCAGCTTGCCACTTGTGTTCTGTTTATTTATTAGCAGGTATTAAAATTTTTATTGCTGTGATTGACTATAACTGTTACACTGTATGATAACTTGACAAAAAATAAAGCAGCCCAATCATTCATATCTGGTCTCACTGCATTTGTATATTAACCCGTTCATCAAAAAATTGAAGCTTCTATGAAAGCGTGCGTGAAGAACTTGAAAATTCAGATGTGTCAGGTTATAATATCATGTAATTAAAAAAGGGCAAAATGTTCACGTTCGTAATGAGAGACAGATCTAATCTGCTTCTGAGAATGACCAACCGTGCTGAACTTAAAGTAGGCTTGCAATTTGAAATAAGGGCATTATAAAATTCAATGGGGCCAGGTATGAGAAATAACTATAAAAGGCATTTTATAAATAAGATGTGTTAATCTTTTACCATTAGAACATCTGGAATACTGTTCTGGTCATTACATCTTGATGATATATTGACCATGAAGCGATTCCTTAAATTAGACTTGTAGTCCTTGTATCATAGTTTAGAGCTGATTTTTGATTGAATTTTTATTTAGAAGGGGTGGAAAGAAAGGAACTTTGCTTATAGACAAAGCAGAAATCACATAACTCTCCTGAATGGCACAGCTTTAAGTTTAAGAACCACTCCTAATGCAAAGGGTTTCCAAGAATGAAAGTCTCTTCCATAAAAAAGCAGTAAATGCTAGATTAATCATTTTCTAATTTAACTTTTTTATTTACAAAATAAAAACTAAATGTTTATGGAGCCAAGGCAGGTTGAAGGAGTCACATTATAGATTAGCTCTGATTTCATTGCATAGCAGAACCAATTCCAGGGGCTGAATGGCCTGTTGCTGTGTCCTTTTTTGCAAAAGGGCTGCAGCCGTTTTTGTGTTCATCACACTCACATCATATACCCGTGAACCCATGATGATGACGACGGATAATTTTATTTTATATAGAAAAAAAACAGGATATGGATAATTTATGTTGAACCAAGATGGAGTCTGAGGGATTAAGTCACTGTTGTAAATTTCTGCTAAGATGAAGTCTCATTCATATCTCTGGAAATATAAACATTCAAATAGATGTGTCACATTGATTGTTTTATCTTTAAACTTGAAATCTAATGAAGGGATACAAGTCATTTTTATCCAAGCAGCAGTGAATAGCCACCATTTCTCCCCCTTTTTGAGGCAATGGCTTCTAACACTGTATCACTTTGAATCTGTGGTCACAAGATCAGAAGTGACAAGATAACATTTTACTATACTGAAGAACAGGCAGGGGTAGGTCAATTTGGGATAATGGCAGAGGGAACCATCACCTAGTAAGAGAAATACAAACTTGTCTGAAAGACTGCCTTCTGAGGCAGAGGTGTGTCAATTTATTTTGACATACAAGATTATCACTTTGATAGATGCTTAGCCATAACTATGTATAAAAAAAGAAAAAATTTTAAAAAGCTAGGAACATAGGAAAGGAGGAGGGCATTCAACCACTTAAGTCTGTTTTACTATTCAGTGAGATCATGGCTGATCTCTGGCCTAATTCCATATATCTGCCTTTTGCCGATATCCCTTAAATACCTTCACTTAGCAAAATGTTATTTATCTCAGATTTAAAATTAACAACCGATCTAGTATTAACTGCCTTTTGTGGATGAGAGTTCTATGGTATTAGGTTACATTACCTCAAGGACACTAAATACTTTTAGAATGCATAAGCTTTATTCTCCCTGATGGAACAAAACAATCTCCTTTTTAAATATAGTGCCTTTGTTTGTGTGTGTCTGATGCAATTTATGTCAAGATAAGGAATGATAAAGGCAAAAAAATCATTTGTAGGTGCAGTGTGCAAGCCCCCTAACAGTAACCACACATTAGCATGGAGTATAAAGAGAGAAATAATGAGACCATGTTAGAAAGGTTTAGCAATAATTACAGGGAATTCATATATAGACTGGAAAACCCAGTAGGACAAAGATAGCCTAGATGGACATGGAATATGTTCTGGATAATTTCTTCAAACAATACATTCTGGAGCCAACCAGATAGGAGACTACACTAGACTTAATTATGTGACAAAATAAATTAATGAATTTCTGTGTAGCAAAGGTACCCCTAGGCAGCAGCGACCATAATATGATTGAAATTTACATTCAGTTTGAAGGAGAGAGGAATGGGCCCAAAATTAGTACTTTAATCTTAAATGAAGGAAATTATGAGGTCAACAAAGCAGAGCCAACTAAAGCGAATTGCCAAATTAGATTGAGGGAGAGGTCAATAGAGATGCAGGTACAGACATTTAAGGGGATATTTCAGAATATACATACATTCCGATGAGAGAAAAAAAATCCAAGGGTAGGGCCCATCATCTGTACTTAACTAAAAAAGTTAAACATAGTATCTGATTTGAAGAAAAAGCATAAATTGTGCAAAAATAGGTGGCAGGTCAGAAGTTCAAACAGAATATTAAAACAGCAAGGATTGACTAACAGATCAATAAGGAAGGGAAAATAGAGTATAAAAGAAAGTTTGCTAGAAATATAAAAAGACTGTATTTCTATAGGTTTTAAAAAAGAAATTAACAAAGTGGTCTTATCAAAAGGTAATCGGGGAATTAATATTAGAAAATAAGGCGATGATAGATGAATTGAACAGATGCTTTGAATTATTCTTTATTGTAGAGGATACAAAAAATCCCACAAATCATGAGCTGGAAGGACGGGCAGGAACTCAAAATTATAATCACTTGGGAAGTGGTACAGAGCAAATAGTTGGAGCTGCAGGCTGGCAGGTTCCCAGATTCTGATAAACTTCGTACTGGGATCTTAAAAGACATGACTGATGAGATTATTGATTATTGATTATTGATTAACATTTAGGCGATTTCATTCAAAGGTTAATTATCATTCTAGCTAACGATCCAAAAACAGACTTTGTGTGAAGATCAGTTAGGATCTTTTAGATATTGTAATTTTGGTACATCTTATTTTGTAGAGTTATTCTGAAATAAAGTAACTGT